TGGTGTAAAAGCGTCTGTGGGTAAAAGAGTCTGTGTGTAAAACCGTCTGTGTGTGAAAGCGTCTGTTGTGTAAAAGCGTCTGTGTGTAAAACCGTCTGTGTGTAAAAGCGTCTGTTGTGTAAAAGCGTCTGTGTGTCAAAGCCTCTGTGTGTAGAAGCGTCTGTGTGTAAAAGCGTCTGTGTGTAAAAGCTTCTGTGTGTAAAAGCGTCTGGGTGTAAAAGCTTCTGTGTGTAAAGGCTCCTGTGTGTAAAAGGGTCTGCGTGTAAAAGTCTCTGTGTGTAAAGGTTTCTGTGTGTAAAAGCGTCTGTGTGTAAAAGCGTCTGTGTGTAAAAGCGTCTGTGTGTAAAAGCGTCTGTGTGTAAAAGCGTCTGTGTGTAAAAGCGCCTGTGTGTAAAAGTCTCTGTGTGCAAAAGCATCTGTGTGTAAAAGCGTCTGTGTGTAAAAGAGTCTGTATGTAAAAGGGTCTGTGTGTAAAGCGTCTGTGTGTAAAAGGGTCTGTGTGTAAAGCGTCTGTGTGTAAAAGTGTTTGTGTGTAAAAGCTTCTGCGTGTAAAAGCTTCTGAGTGTAAAAGCCTCTGTGTGTAAAAGCGTCTGTGTGTAAAAGCGTCTGTGTGTAAAAGCGTCTGTGTGTAAAAGCGTCTGTGTGTAAAAGGCTCTGTGTGTAAAAGCGTCTGTGTGTAAAAGTGTCTGTGTGTAAAAGAGCCTATGTGTAACAAGCGTCTGTGTGTAAAAGCGTCTGTGTGTAAAAGCGTCTGTGTGTAAAAGCTTCTGTGTGTAAAAGCGTCTCTGCGTGAAACAGTCTCTGTGTGTAAAAGTCTCTGTGTGTAAAAGAGCCTGTGTGTAAATAGCGTCTGTGTGTAAAAGCGTCTGTGTGTAAAAGCGTCTGTGTGTAAAAGCGTCTGTGTGTAAAAGTCTCTGCGGGTAAAAGCTTTGTGTGTAAAAGTATCTGCGGGTAAAAGCTTTGTGTGTAAAAGTCTCTGTGTGTAAAAGAGCCTGTGTGTAAAAGTATCTGTGTGTAAAAGCGTCTGTGTGTAAAAGCGTCTCTGTGTGTAAAAGCGTCTCTGTGTGTAAAAGCGTCTGTGTGTAAAAGCGTCTGTGTGTAAAAGCGTCTGTGTGTAAAAGCGTCTGTGTGTAAAAGCTTCTGTGTGTCAAAGTGTTTGTGTAAAAATGTTTGTGTGTAAAAGCCTCTGTGTGTAAATGTGTTTGTGTGTCAAAGCGTCTGTGTGTAAAAGCGTCTGTGTGTAAAAGCGTCTGTGTGTAAAAGTCTCTGCGGGTAAAAGCTTTGTGTGTAAAAGTCTCTGCGTGTAAAAGAGCCTGTGTGTAAAAAGCGTCTGTGTGTAAAAGCGTCTGTGTGTAAAAGCGTCTGTGTGTAAAAGGGTCTGTGTGTAAAAGCGTCTGTGTGTAAAAGTTTCTGTGTGTAAAAGCGCCTGCGTGTAAAAAGCGTCTGTGTGTAAAAGCGTCTGTGTGTAAAAGCGTCTGTGTGTAAAAGAGCCTGTGTAAAAAGCGTGTCTCCATACTAACAACAGAAGACTCTGCTCCTCTACGCTCTCGGGCCATCCGTCGTCTAGTTTTGCACATCCCAAATAAAGATGACACATATGCCATCAGTGTTGTTTTGTGTCTGCTTATTAGTGCTTTACCCCTCTTGCAGGTGAGCGTGAAGCAGCTTGCTACATCCTGTCCTACGTCCTCTGAACGGGATTTCTTCCGATGGCTGAAACTCCCTATACCTACTTACAAAGCTTCTGTACCCGTGAAGCTGGATGCTAGCAACTGTGCTGCCATTGATGGTCTTGGCACTGCAGAAATTTCACTGGTCCTTCACAGTGATCACCTGCAAGCTCTTCATGATCAAGGACCAGAAGCACCTCCCTACCAGAAAAACAGTCAACATGTTGTGTTTTTTGCTTCTTATTAATAGTTTACTTGCATGTTCATGTTGCGCCGCTGGGCATTCTTAGGTAATAGATGAGTGCTTAGGGTCCTGGGCGGACTTTTCTGCAATGTGGCATGCGTCTGGATGTGGTGAGCTTTCTTCAACGCACGTTCCCATTATCATCCATGAAGATGCAGTGCCTCATTTTTCAGGCATCTGGAAAAAGAGTAGCGTGGTTTTTCTTTCGAGTTTTCAGTCAGTCAAAGTTGATAAGCACGCGCTTTTTGTGTGTCTTAAGTCTTAAGTCTCAAGGCTTAAAAAAAACAGTAGAGGCAGCACAGCAACAATATGGAGTTGGAGCACTGGATGCGTGCGGGGCGATGCATGGAAAACAAAGCACGCAATTACGGTAATTGGCACTCCGCACATCACTGAGGACACGAGACAAGAAATTTGCAGAATCCTGGCTTGGGATTTCAAAC